AGTCCTGCATTGTGGTAAATAAAAAAGCTCCGAACTTCTAGTGCCATAAGAATGCACATGGCGTGTCACCAACAACATATTATTGAAGCTATAAGGAAGTAAGCCAGATCTGTATTGATACATAAATTTTCCTATTTGAAGTTTGTAGATACTCTCAAGATTCAGAATTTTTAAATTTTTAAATAAGGGGTCAGTGTGAGCATCGAAAGCACTCCTCGACATTATTCTTACGACCCGTTTTTGAAGTGTGATTAATCTTCTGAGGTTTGAGGGGTAGGTCGATGCCCAGACGCTCACTCAGTAGAATAAGTATGGGTAGATAAGGCTAGAATAAAGCATCCGTAAGGAGGAATTATTAAGGCAAAAACTTGATTTATAAATTATACGTATGGCTTTAGACACTTTCCGCGCAACATTATGTATATGTGATTTCCATGTTAAGTGTTCATCCAAAATTACAATCCTCTGGGGGGTGGCCTCTAAGGCAAAATGCACATCTCTTGTCCCCTCCTTTGTTAGTGAATAACGCACTCGCTGTCTGGGGTCCCTTTCTGCGGTCATTCGATCCACCTCGTTGCGCAGTTAAATTATGATCTTCCCGCAATTCAACCTCCGTCAACAGAGAATCCAGCAAGTCTTTGAGGGTCCACTCCAGGTACTGCTTTCCTCGGGCGATTGTTAAGCGTATTGAATCCGGAACCCTTTCCAGCAGCATGGGGACGACTAGTATCTCGGAGTAAGTACGCTCGTCGACGTTCAACGCTTGAAGGGCTCTGTATTTTGTCTCCACGAAATCATAGAAGCCGCACAATCTCGCCGTGTCGCTTTCATTGAACACATGTCTTGTGTTCAACAGTTCATTCACCAAAGTTCTTTGGATTGCGGTCTTTTTTCCGAAACGTTTTTTCAACAATTCAACCGCTGCCTCGTAATTCGCGGAAGTTAAGGCAAATCCGGTAATCGCTGACCTGGCTGGTTCTAGCAGTAAGCCTCTGAGATGTGAGAATTTATCCATGTTTGAAAGGCTGTCGTTTGAATGTATCGCACTTTCAAAGGAATCCCAGACCTCCTGCCACTCTTCCAGCTTTCCACTAAACTTTCGTACCTCCAGTTTTGGTAGTTTCACCCGGATGGCCTTGGAGTTCGCCGAGCTCGAGGTCGCTCCGTTCTCGACGACGTTCTGGTAAGGACTAGAAGGAGACCCACTCATGTTTTGACTCTCGCTCAATCCAGGCTGCAGCACAGTTAGTTTGTCGTCGATAGCTGCAAGTCATTGAAGTACGTCAGCCTTCAATCTTGCAGCTCGGTCTGTCTCGGCCGTGATGTCTTCTTCGGTGGATTTTTCATCGGCTATGAGTTCGGCATAAATTTCTTCGTCAAGAGGCAAGATTTTGTCAAGCTGTTCTTTTAGGACGGCATGCCACTTAGTAAGTTCAACTTTCTTCTCAGCTTCACAGCTGTTTAGGCACTCGTCAACGTCAGGACTCCCGTTAAAAATCCCAAATGGCCTGCTCTAACTTTTTTCTTGGACATTCTTTAATCCAGCTATCGATGGACCAGATGTTGCGGAATTCTGTTAACCCCGCTCCGCTGGTTCAAACAAATCAAGAGGACTGTATCTTTCGATGTAACAACACGATTTAATGCAATCCAACAATCTACTGCGATGTACAATTCTCACATATTCAACGGTCGTAACTCAACGATCAACGTAACTAAACAATCGATCGCATTTAACCAGAGACCACAAAGAGTTTGGCAACAAAGGGTGTGTTCCTTTCGGTGAATCCAAAAACGGATTTTAGATCTAAGAACGGATTTCGCGTTCCTTTCGGCAAATCCAAATCCGGATTTTTGATCTGGCGAATCCTTTTTGAAAAAGGATTCATTGGATTTGAAATCCGAAGAATCCAAATCCAGATTAACGGATTAGTGATCTACGCTGTTCCATTCACAGTGGATCCGAAATTAGTCAAATGATCCAGCGGTATTTCCAGTTGAAGTATTCCCATAGAGGCCGTAGAGTTTCCTCGTTGCTGTCATTTGCCGCAAAACATCTGAAAACATTAGAAGATTGTTCCTGGTACATTAAAATATCCATATACTAACCATTTGTCTCTAAAGATTGCTTGAAATCAGAAATAAGTAAAAGTAACAAATGAACTGCTATCTAACTACAAACTCGCTTGTAGACGCGACAGGCACTCGATCGTGTTACATAAAAAAATCCGAGCTATGGAACTGGATCAAACTGGCCGACATTCTTTAGATAATTTTCAATTTTAATGGCCTTCTTTCTTTGTCTGTTTTATATGTTCTATCGTCGCTATTCGAACTGCCGACCACTAAATTCTGCACGGTATAATCGCATAATTTGTCAAACAGTAGAAAACTCGTCATTTTTTGAGAGGCTGTAGTGCATATTGCACGCGTTGGCGAAAGGTTACCAAGGTTACAAATCCAATTTCGGATTTCACGTTCCTTTCGACCGCGAAATCTGGCAAATCCAGGATCAAAAATCCGTTTTTGGATTCGCCGAAAGGAACACACCCTTAAAGAGTTTATTGTCACGCAATCAAAGAGGCCGAAACTACATTGACAATAAAACTCCAAACGCCGTAGGGCGGGAGGGTATTAGGGTAAACGAAAGCTGTAGACCGCGAGCTAAGAGCGAATGACTGACTTGTCGTGACAAACCGAGCGCTAAATCAAAGATAGTTATCACGCATCAATTATCCATCATCACCCGGGTAATGATGTAACCAATCGATCGCATTTAACCACAGACCACAAAGAGTTTGGCAACAAAGAGTTTATTGTCACGCAATCAAAGAGGCCGAAACTACATTGACAATAAAACTCCAACGCCCAAACCCAAACGAAGAAGAGGTAGGTGGGTAAATGCGAGCGAGTGGAAGAGAATGAGACTACGCGTTAAAACCTAAACGAAAGTACTATATTTTAAGCTGCCTAATTCTAGAAGCCATGGAGTTGACTGCGAGACGCTTCTGTGACGAGGACATCTCGAGATAGACTAAATAAGCGTCGCTATGCCAATCCCCTTGAAACTTAATTAGTTCTGCCGGAAGGTTGCATTCGAAGGCAAAGGACGCACCTCCCCTACGGAAACTATGAGGAGAAAAAGACTGGGAATCTAAATCGAGCGTAGTGATACACCGTATTCACAAATGGCGGACTCGCGGGAAAAAACTGGTGCCTAGTCATGAAAGCGAGGCGTTGGAGGATAAACAAATATTGCAAATGAAGACTTTCAGTGAACTTGCGGAGTGTTTAGCACGGATTCCACCTAAAATAACTTTGTACGGACCTCTTTTTAAATACAATTACATGGCATGTCTTCTACTTTTAATGTTTAGTAGTGATTTGCTGTTTGCAATCAAAAGGGACGCGTATATCTTCAAGGAAACAGGATGTTTCCGAAGCATCAGAAGCTCGACACGACAAGTGGGCGATGGCTGGAGAAAAGCGGCAAACATGTTAGCCCAAACTTCACACTGAAACCGAATACGAAAGCCAGATCACTACAATTCTGTAAAACAGAAATTAAAACAGATATTGGTGGCGAGAAAAAGAGAAGTAAGCGACGGATATATGGCCTACTTGTTAACGGAAGAGACCTCCGCCATTACACAGAACAGATCAAGTCGAGAGCGCGTGAGAGATTCATTCACGAGGCTCATTCATTCATGTCAGTGTCACTTTATACATATCTATGTATATATGTATGTCTGTATTTACAACTTCCTTTGGATCATATTAATTCCGTCGTTTTGGAGCGAATTGTTAGAGGTACGTTGGCAGAGCTTAGCAAAAATCTCATGATTTCTTTGTCATCGCGAAATAATTAAAAATAATTTTATCAAAATTAGAAGCTGTAGTGTGTGAATCTTATGGCTTGCTATTTGCCTGGTCTCCTTTAGGGCATTATCTCAGAGAGCTCTTGGTAAAAAAAGTGGTATAAAGCTTACATTTTACTAGGTTAAACTTTTAAGGCAATGTTTGTGTCAGGACTGAACATGTCAAGCTTCTGTTTCGAAAAATTAAATTCGAGTCTGGATCCGTTTAAGAAGACCATCATTTTATTTATTTATGTATTCTTCAACTTTAAAATATTATGGAACATAGAGTTAAAACTCTTAACAGCCAAAGATAAGAAATACGAAATTACTGGCTGAAATAATATGTGTCCGGCTTACCGAGTCTACCGAGTAACAAGTTGAAATTTTGAGCGTAGTCCACTCGATCGCTCCTGCATTTATACTAAAAAAATAGTTCTAATTGATGTCCTTCATCGATAAAGACCAGAGAATAACGTCCTGGCAAACAAAAACCAAACATAAATTCATCGAAACCTCAGTCACCTCTTCTTTCTTGTCTTCCTTTTTTCCACCTCGACTTGAACTGTTTTGTTTAACGGCAGACGCCTCTTGCGTTAACAAGTAGGCCATATATCTGTCGCTAATTCTTTTTTTCTTGCCACCAAGATTTGTTTATATTTCTGTTTCACCGAATTGCAGTGAGCTGGCTTTCGTACTCGGTTTCAATGTGAAGTTTGGGCCAACATGTTTGCCGCTTTTCTCCAGCCATGGTCCACTTGTCGAGCTTCTGAGGCTTCGGAAACCTACAAACCCATCCTGTTTCCTTGAAGATATACCCTCCCTTTTGATTGCAAACAGCAAATCATTACTAAACATTAAAAGTATAACACATCCCACGTAATTGTGTTTAAAAAGAAGTCCGTACAAAGTTATTTTAGGTGGAATCCGTGCTAAACACTCTGAAAGTTTACTGAAAGTCTTCATTTGCAATTTTTGTTTATCCTCCAACGCCTCGCTTTCATGACTAGGCACCAGTTTTTTCCCGCGTGTCCGCCATTTGTGAATACGGTGTATAACCTTAGATAAAAAGGAGGCGAAGTGACAGTAAGTGATGGGACGCGGGGGCAAGGAATGGGAAGATTTAACAGAAAACAAAAAATCGGACGAAGCCAGACGATTGAGGCGAAAATGGTTGATTAATGCAGAGACAGGGCAGAGTGGAGAGTTTGGAATGAATGGCAGCGGAATCGACAAAATACGCAGTTTAAATTGAATAGTTTTAGTGGCGCGTATCTGCAAAAAAGCCCCCTCGGGGGCTAAAACGAAATCACAGCGACGAGGTAGCTTATCGGAAGTCGCGCTAAGAGAATCCGCCACTAAGTTAGACTTGCGGAGAAAGGAGAAAAAGGCAACTAAAAAAAGCGCCCACATGGCCGCGTGGAGAGGGTTTCCTAGATTGAACAAACGAGCCATAGATAAAAGCAATTTGGGAGTGATAGGGAGTTTACGAAAAGGTGACGTCCTAAGCAAACGTTTAGATCCCCGTAAAGCTAATTGAAATAAATAGGCCGAATCCCATCCGGGGGAAAAACCTAATAACAGGTGAAAATGCTTAATGCTGGAAATGTGATTTTGGATAGTGCCGAAAGCTCTACCTGAAGCGAAAGAAAAGCAAGATAGCGCAAAATCGTGGTGACTTGAACGGGGAAAGGCTGATGACCGAGGTCGTTACAAAACTGTGTAAATAGTTTAAGGTGAGACTGCATGTTGCTATGCGTAGAGGCAGCATGGGCCAAACGAATAAGTCTGTCACTGAAACTGTCTAGCCACTGGAGGCCTTGTAAACTACCTAGAACAGAAAAGAAAGGAAAAAACGAGGTAAATAAGCTGACTATGAAGGTAATAACAAGATGTATACGAGCGTTAAGGCGATATCAAAAAAGAAAAACAAAACAAATGTCACTGAATTTGAAACAGGAGACAGTCTGGTGGCCCTTGCTGAAAGGTGTAAACTCTGCCTAAACTGCAAGCGGACATCTGAAAAGTGTCATGCAGTGAAGGATCCGAGTCCCAACGATTCAAAGCGTCGGCTAAAACATTGTGATCTCCAGGGATGTGACGAACCTGGAGCTCGAAGTCAAAGACAGCAGCGAAAAACCGCAGTTGCCGTAAGCACGCTGCATGAAATAATCCTTTGTGGAGCCAGAATTGATAACAGTGACGGCGGCTGGATTTTCGCAGGACACGATGAATTTTCGATGGCGAAGCTTGGGGGCCCATAACTGCACGGCGACCACTATGGTATAGAGTTCTAGAGACGAGATGTGAGAAGCGCTTGTTAGGATATCCGGGGAGAACTGAAAATGGAAGCACTCGTCTAAACAAATGGCGCCACCGCCGGTCAATGAGGCGTCCGTGGCGAAGTGAAGATCGGAGAAGTCGCAGGAACTAGCCTTGATGAGAGAAACTCCGTTGAACAAGGGCAAGAAACTAGACCACCAAGAAATATCGGCACGCATGTCGTCAGAAATTGGGCAAGACGAACGAGACTTTGAGAATGAACGTTAAGTATTCAATAAACGTGCCATGAAAATTCGCCCCGGTTTGACGCAAGCAGTGATGAATGAAAGTTTTCCTAGTAATGACTGCAACTGCTTCTTTGTGTAACGCGAACGCTGGGACCAGAGAGACAGTTCCTGCAAGAGTTCCTGCACGCGAAAGGGAGGAACAGAGAGAGACATCTCCTCAGAATCGACGTCAATACCGAGGCAAACCAGTTTAGTGGATGGCGGAGAATCCTTATCGGGTGAAGTTTGAATTCGAGTTCTTGTAGCAGCTGTTTTAATGATGTGAACGCGGTAGATGCTCGCGCGGGCAAGTCGGCTCCATAAAAGTCATCGAGGTAAACGTCCGCCAAGAAGCCTAATTGCGTGAAACAATGCACGACAGCCTTAGTAGTGCGTTGACAGATCATAGCAGAGGTCTTCAGACCGAATGGACAACGAGTATCAAAGTAGAGAAGATTGTTGAAACGAAATCCCAGCATATGATAGTCTTTGGGATCGATGGGTATTTGACGATAGGCACGTTGAAGGTCGAGTTTATACAGAAGGCAACCTTGGCCTAGCTGCAGGATGAACTCGCACAACCGATCAGTCCCTGGGAGGCGAAGTTTGTAGGGCTCGTTGAGATAAGAAGAATCCGGAATACCAATGTTCACTGAAGCATGGGGGGGAAAACTTAAATCCATGACCACGCGACGGTTAGAAGACCCACGCTTAGGCACAGTTTTTAGTGGGGAACAGATCAAAGGCTGGGGAAAAGGATTGTTGCGAAAAGGACCGGTCATCGCGTGATAACGAAGTTCTGTGTTGACATAATAGGGACCTTAAGATACCCTGGACGCGGCGGTAAAGGGAATGGAGAAAGCCTGGAGCCAGGACGCCGCCACCTTCGCGGGAAAAACAAATTAAGATTGAGCAGGTTGGGTGAAGCGGCTCGCCTGACGAGAGAGGATAAAGTAATGCTTTCGTGTTTTAATTCCATGACGTCTTTTAGAAAAACTCGTGAAGTCTTGCTTGATTGATGCCTTAACGATCTTTTATTGGAAGAAAAATTTGTGCTGCTGGCTATGACTCCAGTTTCTCTCTAAAAAAAAAACCAAATTTCTTCGAGGGAAACTTGAGGGTATGATCGGAGTTCAGGTTATCAGCTATTTGTTGCCACACGTTTTCGCTTTCCGTTGTTCTAGATCTTGCTTTAAAACGATATGGTTCTGTTATGAGAACTTCCCGTACTAAGGCGAGATTTTGATCTTCAGACCGCTCCATCGCTGAACTGAAAGTGAACAAAATAAAATTATAAAAGTTAATAGATTAACCATGGCGTCTTGTTCAAGATCTCAATTTTCTCCGACATGTTCAAGTTTATTACAAGCCTAGATTTTTGTTTTCCAACAATTTTTACAAAATGTATTCGACTTCCCGTCTCTTAAATTTTTCAAATACTATCCTAAAGCGAGAACGTTGTCCCCTTAAAAACAAGCAGTTATAGTGTTACATTTGTGTCGAAAGACTTAGCGCTTTCATTCTCAGTTGTCGCCAAAACACTGAACCCAAAAGGCTTGATAGCATAAAAATAAGAGTCAATCTTGAGAGAACACCACACTAAAAACACTTAAATGTGTCTCTTGAAGTAAAATGGATCGAAAATCCTGTACGGAAAGGAATTTCTGCACTGAAAACAAGAAAACCAACTCACCGTTTTACGAGGCGGCCAAACTTCTAGTTTTCACCGTCGCGACTTCAGGTCGACGCTGTGGCATTATGCTAATTAGTTCCAAGAATTGAACATTTCACTTCCGGTTGACGTCCTCCTCGGCCGCGTCCAGAGTATCTTAAGGTCCCTATTGCTGCACGTGGTCGGCGTATGAAACTGCTGATGAGTGATTCTTATCGGTGGAAATAGGAAGTTGATTTGCTGTATAATTGACCGGCCAGCCGTAGCGTAGAAAGTCTACAATTTGACGATCATGGTAGTCTAATAATTTAGATTCCCAAGCGGGAATGTTCAGAGGGGTTAGTACCGGTATTCTAGCGCCAAAGGCGTTCGGAAGGCCATGTTGCGACGCAATAATATGTTGAATAACGGGAGTTACAAATTGTTGATTGTCGATTGACGTCCCGGTGGCAGGTAAAGAAGAGAGATCGCTTTCCGAAGAAATCTGTGGGGGTAGTCATGATGAATTAGGAGGAGGAATTGGGTTTCTTCGCTTTAGGCAATGCAGCATGGGGTGATCCTTGGCGCACACCCTGCGCTTGTGGAAGGCATGGAAGGATTCTAAATTGGCTTTGTCGCATGAACAGGAGCCGTAATAGTTCCACTGACGACATGGCTTATCGGCTTCAGGCTTTGTTGGTGGGCGCTGATTGTGGGCGGGTGGGACACTTGGCGAAGACAAAGTACTCGTTATATTGGGCCTAAGTTGACTGGAACGGAGATCTGAATGCTTGAAATAGGTATTGGCTTTTTCGTGAATCTCCGAAAGGCTGGTCCATTCCAAGCGCCGCAACTCGACCTGTTTGGCGATGTGACTATGGAATGAACGAACACTGGACCACGAGTAGCTGGAGGCCTTTGCCATGAGGAGTTCTAACAAGTCTAACATGGCTGATTTAAGAGGAGCGTCGTAAGACTTGATCATCGTCAAAAAACCTCCAACGAAATCGGGTAGCTCTAATTTAACGTAATCAACAGAGCAAAAGCTACCTGGGGCGAATTCGTGCGGCCAGTCCACTGTTCTTTTCTTGCGTGTCGTTTCGGAGGTAGGTTGCGTGCTGGAATTCTCGGTATTCACATCTGCGCTGCCATCAGCTCGGCGAAGTCGCAAAACTTCGATTTCAAGAGCCAGCTTTTGGTTTTGGGCCTCAGTTAGGCGGATTTCCAATTCCAAATCGCGTGTGCTGGACGGACGAATATGGTCTGCGGTAGCTGAAGAAGAACGATGAGCAGAAGGCGAGCTCTTTTCCGCCTCGGCCGCACCCTGCTTGGTGATCGCCGGCTGAAGGAATTCTTCATCTGGGAATTTAAAATCTTGCCACTGTCCCGGCAGCTCGGGGTAAAGAAAATCAGCATCTTTCTTTGATGACTTTTGACGTGTGGAGCGTCGGACGGGTTGACTAGAAGAATGTTGGTGAGCCATTGAGAGGGGTGAGATTGGTCTGAACTAAACGAAAGCTGTAGACCGCGAGCTAAGAGCGAATGACTGACTTGTCGTGACAAACCGAGCGCTAAATCAAAGATAGTTATCACGCATCAATTATCCATCATCACTCGGGTAATGATGTAACCGATCAACGATCAACGATCAACTAAAACATTCTAAGTATACAGTGGCTTTTCTACTATCCTTGCGTAAGGCAGTATTTTTACATTAATCACATGTACAGTAAAAGTTCCCATTGTAATGTATCTAAATTAAGTGTCTATTACAAAATCGCACGTTCTTTCACTTTATTTAGCCTAAGAAATGCATGCAGTTACATCATTTTATATCGTCAATATACTCTGACTTTGTCTACATTATTGTGAAATCTAATGTCACGAAATCTAACTTCTTTGCGCTACAAATGTCAATTTCTAATTAATATTTAATCACAAAATATTAAAGATAAGCTTCACCTATTTCTTTCCCGACACCAGGAGCCTTATTTCTATGGTGATTAACACTTATTGCGGTCAAGCGCTGACCAGGATAGTAATTTAATAGTTCACACATTCCTTTGCACACCTAGAGTGTTAATTTATTCTAACCTCAAGTAACTTACGGTTCCTTTGTCACCACTGTCAATCATAAATAAGGTTGATATCCAGGGGAGATGTATTGAATGATATATTTTTTGTAAGAATTCCCTTCGCGCCAGATACATTCGGAACGCTAATGGTCGGAACGGCTTATTTTTCCTGGCCAATATTCGTATTATGTATGTATCGGTCAAATCGAAGCTTCAACATCCCCCCCGGGCCTATCCCGGGCATTTGACACCTTTGCCGTCCCGGGGAGGAGCGAATTTAATTATCAGAGTCTTCCAGGGGGTGGGGAATTTGATCCTCAGGCGTTAGGGGTGGGGAATTTGAACTGTACCCTCGATTTCGTGTGAAATCTCTGGCGTGGCGAGCTATCATGGGGGACGCGGTTTTAGGGGATTTTCGTGGAAAAGATTGTGCCTTTGTGGCCAATTGGTTACGAGGAAAGGGCTTAAAAAAGCTTTGTGCCGTATTTGAAGGTATTTAAATTTTAACATTTTTAATATTGGATTCAGGCTTTGAATATATCAATGTATTAAGTTGTGTTTACAATGAAATACAATTCCTATACTGGCGATTCAGTAAAACAATAAAAAGCTCAAAAGAGGTCAATTACTTTGACCTGCCACATGTATGTTTTAAATTCACAGCGGAGCTCCACGCGCGCGCTTCGCGCGCGCGTGGGCGGAGCCCCATAGCTAAGGAAATCTACCCATCCCAGAAAATTTGGTAATCACGTGACCGACCGACCGAGCGACCGACCGAGCGACCGACCGTCCGTCCGCACCACAGGCATACCAATGTTTACTCTCACACTTTCTAGCTACTTTGGGAGCCCAGGAGAAAGCTGATTGCACATCAATGATGTCATCAATTGACAGCTGTCAAAACAGGGTATCCGCTGACCACTATCACCTGACCGAATCGCGGGCTCAGGTGTCGACCCATCGAGGTCGAGTATTTTTTTGAAGTTATCCGCTGACAATTTACTCGTTTTCAAATGATCGCAGGCTCACGTTTACTTTTGTTTTAAATTCATATCAAATATGTTGTGTTTATGTCAGTATCGCCCCGCACTATTACGATTTTTATTTCAAACTGACCTCAGACGCAAAAATTCAGGCAGTTTTTTTAAAATACAGGCGGGGAAGACCTTTTCTAACCATAGTCACGTGTTGGTCACGCTCCACGTCCAATTTTTATGCTCTGATTGGTTAAAATTTGACAGGTGACTTCATGCGTAAAATTTATGCAGCATCTTGAAAGTTGTTTACTTTGAGAGCTGAAGCTGACAGAGTTTTGAGCTAACTTGTGATGTTTTTAACTGTCTTTTTCCACTGGATGTACAAAATGAAATACAGCTGCTATCAAGAGTGTTCTCTTATTCATGGCTGGGTTGGTTTATTGGGTTTTTGGTTGAAAAATGCGTCGCTTGTCAAAGCCGATAATCCGATTTCGGATGGCATCGTTTTTGTTTTTCACCTTGCTGGATGCGTACGAGAATTATAAAGGCTCAAGCGATCCTTGCCTTTCTTGATAGCTTTCAGGAGCTGCATCTCGAAATATGGTAAGCCTGAGTAATTATTGTATTTAATCTAATTTCATGAAGTCCAGCGGCGCAGTTTATGAAGCTACAACCAGTTGCAAAAATGATGAGACACTCCCACGGAAAAACGACCTTTCTTGCTTCAAATCGCTCCTGGTCACAGGTCTGTAAAATATAATACTGACCTCCCTCCTCCCTCCCATTCAAAGTTGTTCCTCCAAGTTTTGAGTATGGTCTTGTATTGCTAGCAACTTTGATAAGGGGTGGAGGGGGGATCACAAGCACAAGATCATGGACAGGCCATTTATGCCAAAATACGGTACAGTGTCTCAAGTACTTTTGCAACTGGTTGTCTCATTTAAGGTTTCCTTCAACAAGCGATTTCCAAGTCTTAAATTCCCAAAACGAAGACTATAGTGACATAAATGAATAGAATGGCACTTTGTGTTGCTTTTCCCAGCCGATACATCATTGTCATTGATAGCAAACTGCCTAAAAAAGCGCCTAAGAATGCAGTGACTTGTACATTTTGCCTCAGTTTTGTTATAGCGCATGCGCCATTATCTACCGTGACATAGCTTAAAGTTTCGGCGTTGTAATTAAACTCTGAGAAGCGCGAATGCATAATAACAGCATAATTTTCCTTTTCTTGGTATTTAGAGATACTATAGTTGCGAATAAAGCTGCCAAACCTTCATTTTCACCCCTGTATCTGTAACGCAATGACGTTTGATATGCAATGGCGTAATGTCATCGGTATACCGCGTGACTTATTTTTCAACATCGCTGTTAAAGTAAAACCGTTCAGTTTTCTTCATCTACTACGGTGAAAATAAGATGGTTATTAAAGTCCGTTAGAGCTAGAGAGCAGAAAAAGTTGTGTGCTATGTTAATTTCTATTTCCTGACGGTCTACCATCATCCACGGTCTACCATTCTGCAACAGTAAGAAATAGAATATATTATTATATGTATCTCATATGATGGTAGACCGAGTAGACCGTGTAGACCGTTGAGGCACGTAACTTCCTGACATTGCTGTGCTGGAAAATTGCTTTTCTTAGGGATAGTGTCTTCCTTTTTGCAAAGAAATAAATTTCCTTACCAAGTACAGAACTACAAAGCCACGTTATATGCGAGCTGTCGCGACTATGTTACTGAAATACGCGCGTGAATTTTCATTATCTGATGCCTATAGCCACACTCGGGCTTCAAAATCGAAACAAAGTTGTAAGACGACCAAAGAGTAAACACAAATCCAAACTTGTGTTAAGTAAAGTAAAGTCCACAACAGCTGCTTTTTAGCGTAACTTTTCTTTCCTGTAAATGGCAGGCGATAAAGGAGGAACCACGTCCACGTACTTATCGGAAACAACAACAAAAAGCTATCTCCTTGATCTAGCGGGGCATCTTACGTCACTTTCCTTCCATAAATAAACATCTTTTAACCGAGTTCGAAAAAAATATATTATTTGACGCATCTCTGTAGCGTTTTAGGACCAAAAACCCCTTTCGTTGAAGCTTACTTAAAATGGTGTGGCATCTTTTGCCACGCGCTTCCTTTAAAAGCCCAATTTCTTGCATATTACCACATAAACAAAAGGGCCAACAACTGCCGTTTTTGTCTCGCCATTTTTAAACAGGCAAACCGACAAAAATGAAATACTGTTTTTTTATAACCACCTCCTTAGGTGCTAAGAGTGCACCACGTTTTACCCCGTTTAATAATCGTGCACCACGGCTACAGGGGTATGAAGGACTCAGACAACCAGTTGCAAAAATGATGAGACACTCCCACGGAAAAACGACCTTTCTTGCTTCAAATCGCTCCTGGTCACAGGTCTGTAAAATATAATACTGACCTCCCTCCTCCCTCCCATTCAAAGTTGTTCCTCCAAGTTTTGAGTATGGTCTTGTATTGCTAGCAACTTTGATAAGGGGTGGAGGGGGGATCACAAGCACAAGATCATGGACAGGCCATTTATGCCAAAATACGGTACAGTGTCTCAAGTACTTTTGCAACTGGTTGTAGTTTATGCACGTTTGTATTAAGATTTGACTGAGACACTGATCAGACCTCGTATGAGGTTTGATATAAGCTTAAGCTTACAGAACTTTAAAAAGCCTTTAGTCGACATTAATTCACCTTAAATAGAAAGAAAAAACTTTCCGAAGAATATTTAGTGATAATTTTGGCTGAGAAAGAAAGCTTTGAACGATTTTCTTTTCGTGAGTTCATCTTTGAAAACAGCCAACACCGGGAAACCGGCGGCTCAAAACATAAACTTTAAGCTTACTAGTAAAGACTTGAGGATTCTTAGACACACTTAAATACTCATTTGTTTTCGTGAATGAAAATTGTTGTCTCTGTAAATGTTCTATCGAATTATTTTTCTTTATTGATTTTTGGTAGTCTCAAAAGTGTAATTTTCATCGCTTTGCCGTTTGTTTTCAGGCGTTCATAAACATCGCTCGCAGGAGTACTCAAAATGCCAAGTGTATCAAACGCTTTTTAAGATTACACATCGTTATAAAACCGTTAATAAAAAATAGACTCGATAAATTCTTTATCACGTTGAAGCGTAACTCTTTTAAAATTTCTTCGCAAATTTGGCGCTTGTCAAAAGTTAGAACCGGCTGGCCGTATAGGTGATTTTGGAAATTTTTTTGAACGGTTTCGCTAATTAAAAGTCCACGCGTGCCTCTGTGGTCCTGAATATTGAATGAATGCAATTTGTCTTGAAAAATTGCGAAATAGTGCATTTTGTACGAGGTCAGGTACGATAAAAACAGCGCCTCATAGTACTCTTTCTCCTCAGATGTGGTGTATAAAAAAAATAAAAGATTGGT